ATATATATATATATGTACTGATCAATAACAAATTAATTTTATTCCAAACAGACTTTTTTTATTCAGTCGTAAGTCATTTTTATTTTTAATCAACTGAATATAAGAAATGTCTGATTTTTCAATTATTTCTTTTCGATATTATGAGTATTTTGTATACTTACAGCGTTACTTTGTATATTATGATATTTTTATTCTTTTTTCTCTTTGTATGTTATAGATTTACTAAACCACAGACATTCGCGGATTGTATCGGGAACGAGCTTCCCCTCGGCTGGGAGGAGGCCTACGATAAACACGTGGGCGCCTACTACATCAATCATGTCAATCGTAAGTTTTTTTATTCCGCTTCTGTTATCTGATCGAGAAAGTGCAGAGAGAACGGCCAGATACTTACCATACAAGAAGTGATTTTATTCGGAATTTTATGTCACGTATCTGTGCCATAACGTGCGAGTCCGTGGATTTATGCATGCATTTTCTTGTCTGATTGCGCTCGATACATTCGATTGATGAAAAAGAGAGAGAGAAAGTTTGCAGAAATAGTGAATGTTTAAAAATAAAAGTGTTATCGAATTGCATCGAGTTGCGTTTCTTTATTATATCATTTTGAAAATTGAATAATTTTATTAAATTTATTAATTTTATTAAAAATGGTATTATGTTGCTTTAATTCAAGTTCAGACACTATTAATAATAATCACTATATTTAATTTTATTTATCTTTTATTTATTTATTAATATAATATTAATACAATTATATTAGTATTATAATATTATATACAGTATATATTATATGCGTATAATAGATTATTAAAATAATATTAAAGGTGATAGCATAACATTCCATTTATCCTGAGAAATATATTCGTTAAAAATGCCATAAACATCGATAATTAATAAGACTTATTAAGATTCTTTGTTTTAAACATATCATTGGATTTAATATCCACAGAGACAACCCAACTGGAAGATCCAAGGCAAGAATGGCGAGCTATTCAAGAGGCCATGCTTCGTGACTATATGCAGACTGCACATGATGTACTCGAGGTAAGTACAGAAAACAATTGATCATAAATTTTTTGCTTAAATTGCTATTCGTAAAAGCTGAATTGATCCGTTAATTCCAATCCCCTCGATCCCGTCATGTCGATGAACCTCACTCTGCCGAGATTAAAACGGACGTGAGGTGGGGAAGTGAGGGGGAGAAACTGGTGGAATTTCAACGAGGGTCGATGAGGGCGGCAGGAAGTCAGTCCGTGAGAAATCATGTTACTTCCGGTCATTCGACGTACCCCTCCATACCATGAGTACGACGGCATAGATGTAGATTAACACGCGATTAACCGCGTTCAGTTCCCCTGTATATATCCCGGTAGGATGCGCACATTACATGCATATATATATATATATATATCAGCTAT